ATACATGAGCAATCCAGTGGTAGACCACTAAACAACAACAATGAGGGTACTTCGATATCTAAGATATACCCGTGACTATGGTCTAAGCTATCATAGATATCTAGTAGTATTAGAAGGATACAACGACGCAAATTGGATATCTGACACTATAGATTCTAAGTCTACTAGTGGCTATGTCTTTACCTTGGGAGATGCAACAGTTTCTTGGAAATCGTCCAAGCAAACATGCATTGCAAGATCCACAATGGAATTTGAGTTTATCGCTTTAGATAAAGCAAGAGAAGAAGTAGAATGGCTTCGTCACTTCCTAGAAGACATTCCAATGTGGCCAAAACTTGTGTCAGCTATCTGTATTTATTGTGATAGTCAAGCAGCCATGGCTAGGGCACAAAATAATATGTACAACGGTAAGTCTCGACATATTCGTCGTAGACACAATACCATTAGGCAACTGCTCTCAAATGGAGTTATATCCATTGAATACATAAGGTCAAAAGATAATATTGCGGATCCGTTAACAAAAGGTTTGACTAGAGAGCAGGTTATGAGATCATCGAGGGGAATTGGACTAAAGCCTATTACTTAAGAGTCACCTTAATGGCAACCCAACCTAGTTGACTGGAGATCCCAAGATCTAGGTTCAAAGGGACAACTGAATTAAGAATGACTCAGGAAGATCACTAAGGAGACAATCTCTTACCCATTTCTATGATGACATAGTGATGCCTGCAGTGATAATCAGGATAAGTTTTTACTTTTAATGGTTCTCATAACTTGGAAATCCAAGTGGGGTATAGCAAGATACTCTTAATGAGAATCACCTTTATGAGTGTAAACTGGGCCGATTTTATGAGAATTGAAAAGGCTGAATTCTCTAGAGCACTCATGAAAACCAGGAATTATCCAGGGCCAAAATGGGCACAACTGATATAACCAAGTTGTGTATGGAAATAAAACTATGTGAAAGGTTGTTGTCTTGGTTTACACCAAAGACAGAACAGTTCAAGGCATCATGTCCACTGATTTGTCAGTAAATTTGATAACCTTTTACAAGGGAAGGTTCAAGGCCAAAAGCCATCTCTCATTTGTAGGATATTTCCAGTTTAGTACTCTTTGTGTCTGCATATTGTTACATGTTATTTTCATCAATTTCATTCATGTGGGGGATTGTTGGAAAATGGTTTTAAACCATTAATATTTTGAGCTTTAATTAATGTAGGACCCACGCATTATTTTAGATGGGTCAACGTAGCAATTTTATTTCTTGTTATGTGGTGAACAAGAGTATGTTGTATGGTTGTTAAAACCATTAATGAATGAATGAGAAATCGACTCATAAACATAAACTTTGTAAGGAGGGGAGTTATGGACTGAGGTAGGCTCAATCCAAAACACACACGTGCAGGTGTGGATTGGGTTGGGTTGGCACTTATAATTTTTGGAGAAACCAGTTTTGGAAAAAATATATATATATATAAAACTGAATTTCAAATTTTCAAATCTTGGTCCAACGGTCACCTTCCTTGACTTTAAATCTTGGTCCAACGGTCATTTACCTTGACCGAACAGTCACATTGCTTGCTACGGTTTGTGAAGTATATAAAGCCTCCATTTGGCAAGTTGGTTTATGGGCTTTTTTGGCTATTTTAGCCACAAAAGACAAAATAGGCTATTTTAGCCACAACAAACAAAATATCACATCAAACCCATAATCATTACACTCTTCTCTCACAAAAAAAGTCAAAAAAGCCAAAAAGCCCAAACCAAGCTTTTTAGCCCAGGCTAAAATAGCCAAAAAGCCAAAAAGCCAACCTACTTCCCAAACGAAGCCAAAGGCATTGCAATCTCTCATTTTAGGGGTAGAAAAACCATTGATTAGATCCTAGTTTTTTGTCTTCTTGTGGTAGTGGACAAAACCATCATCATCTTCATTTATTTATTCATTTATTGTTTGTTGAGAGAGTTCTTACTACATATTTGGTTCGAAGTACACATAGATTGTAGTGCTACTTTTGTGTGTAGGTGATTGTTGTATCCTGGAGACAGGACATCCGTAAATCTCAAGCACCACTGGAAAGGGGGAATTTCTATCTTAAAGACACAGTGTCCAAACACTGGCCTCAATCACACAATTGTTATTTATTTTGTTTTTGGTTTACAGTACTGTAAGTATTTTCTGTTACTTGGTTTTTATTTATTGAATATTGAATTTTGTTTTTGATATTTAATTAAATTAATTAATTTACCGGGAGTATCTTTTCAGTAATACATACATATTTGACAGACAACCAACCCTGAAATGCCATGTGAATATAATCAGACCTAATCAATTTTCACCCAGGCTCATTTACCTTAATGTTGTCTAATTTTTGTTAGCAATTTGAATATGTATTCAACCATAAGTTCATCTCTGAAAGGCGTATTGATTATGCTTGCCAATATTTGGTGGAAAAAGAAACTTAGCGAGGCCAACTCAAGTACTAGTTTTTGCATAGAAGTATTGCTAGTGAAGGACATTTCACTTGCCAAAAATAAAATATATATATATATAAAAAAAGAAGGCAAAAACAACATTTCCATTTCATAAGAATTATAAAAAGTATGTCTACTGGCTGGAGTCAAATAGTTGCTTTAGAACGAAACCAAACTAAACCAAGTGTCCCACTCAATTGCGGTTGGCAAACTATTTGATGATAGTTATAGATCTTTCGTTGTATATGACCAAATCATCTTAGTCTGTTCTCCCCCAACTTGTCTTCAATTGATGCGACTTCTTCCATTTCATGAATATATTCATTTTTAATTCTATCTTTCCTGGTTTTACCACACATATACCTAAACATTCTTATCTCAACTACACTCATTTTATGCACGTGTTGTTTCTAAGTTACCCAACATTGTGCTCAATAAAGTATCAATGGCCTTATATTGTTCTATGAAAATTTTCTTTCAATTTTTTTGGTATTCATCAATCACATAATATGCTAGACACCCCCTCCACTTGAGCCAATTTACTTTGATTCTATGGATCACATTATTTCCTACTTTACTTAGGTAACAAAAATGTTCACTACTTGTTATCTCATAGTTTTCAATATTTACTTATCCATTATTTATTATTTCTACTTCTACTATACTAAAGTTACATTCCATACTTTTAGTTTTATTTCTACTAATTTTAAACCTTTTTTGACTTAATGTTTTACTTCATATTTCTAATTTAGTGTTGAACTAAAAATATACTAAAAGGGCAGCAAAACCAATACTATTATCAGTTAATTATCATAGTCAAAATGAGTGTTCGATGAAACTTACAATGTTCAATTGTTCAAATTGCAAGTTGAAAGCTTTGTTATAGAACCAGAGTTTAATTACTCATTGTTTTCCTAAATGCTTATTTTGCCACCAAAAACATGAAGAATAGGGTTATTGAGCATATAGGGACAAAGGCTTTCAATCTCATTTGGAGGGGCCATTGTGGATTGGTATCCCTCGATAAAAAGAGGCCGTCAAGTTAGACATGCTATTTTTTTAAAGAATGTTAGATTTGTAGCAATGTGGTGGGTTTAGAAATACATCTATGGTGAAAGAAGCGTTCCGATAGAATTGATAGAAGCAATGGGGCCCTTGGCTAGTGGAAATCTTTTGGTTTTCCGTAGAAGGAGAAGGTGGTAGTAGTCAAGATTGATAAGATCAAGATTTTACATAAGATCATTTTGGAATCTACCGAACAAATCGTATGGTCAGATTGAGATTCGTAAAATCCTATTAAAATAATATATATATATATATAATAATAATAATAATTTTTATATTACCAAGCAATATTATCAAAATATAAATAAAATGACACCCTTCCCTCCCCAAGAAAAAAAAAACATGAGAATGTAGCTTAAATGGTAGATTGATTCACTTGCAAAACCTACCGAGGTTCAAATACTCGCATTCTCACTTGAACAACATTCACATCTTTTCTTACTGGAAAGAAGATAAACTAAAGCCTAGTTTGGGAAGACTAAATAAGTGTATTTTTTGATTTTTTTTGTATTATGTGTAAAAAAAGTAGAGAGGAGATGTTGATTGATGCGACCCAAAAAAGATAAAAAGATGAAATAAGTGTACTTTTTTTAGCTTAAATGGTAGATTGATTCACTTGCACAACCTACCGAGGTTCAAATACTCGCATTCTCACTTGAACAACATTCACATCTTTTCTTACTGGAAAGAAGATAAACTAAAATAAGAAAAGAACAAATAAACACTAAAATAACTCACCATCCCCGAAATTATTCATTGCCACAATCAACATTATTGAAAGTTTCATTAATGTTTGTGATGCTACTAGTGCCACCCAAATCCACTAACTGCAAATTGTGACATATGAGTTTTAATAATTAATGAATCGTTTGTTTAGGTGATAGAAAATATTTTTTATGAAATTTTTTTCTTAAAAAATATTTTTTTATAGAAAATAATTTTTAATATTTGATAGCGGTGGTGATGGTGGAACGAAGGTGTAGGTAGAGGTGGAGGTGGTGGTGGTGATAGTTGCGGTGATGGCAACGGTGATGGTGGAGGTGGCCTTGGTGATAGTGGTGGAGGTGTGAGTAGTGGTGGTGATGATATGGTGACATTGATAAAATTTTAATTTGAAAAACGTTTTTTGCCTTTTAAAAATAAAAATTATTTTTCTGCTAAAATAAAACTATTTTATATTGATCATGGAAAATATTTTTTTTATTGACTTTTGTTTTTCGTTTTTCGTTATACTAAATATCAACAAATATGAAAAAAAAAAGTTATAAATTGAATATGACATTTTATTTTATTAACTAATTTTATCTTTTAATAAATTATTTTAACCTAATTATCTTTCCAAACACCTCCTAAGCTGCAAAGTTCTATCCAAACCAATTTACACTACCCGTAGTTTACACCCAGTGTGCTTTTTTCGCCCAGAGTTTACACCCCTAGTTTACACCCCTAGTTTGTTCACCCTAGTTCACAAAACCGTCTCCAAACCGCCCGTCGACGCAATGTGAAAAAATAGATCGAATCGAACCCTACGTTGCCAATTTTACGCCAACATACTCCCTTTCTCTCTCTAAAAGCTGAGGCGGCTACTCTCTCTCTCTCTGTGCGTGCTGTGAGTCGTGTTCAGGGGGCGGTGTGGTGATGGAGATCAAACTCGCCTTCTCGGCCGATTTCCCTCCGTTGGCCGTCATTGCCGCCGCAGAAATCGCCGGAATTTCTCTCTCTACCGATTCAGCTCTCCCTCCTGGTTCTCCTCCTACTTTCCTCTTCTCCACAGGGTATACTCACTTCACTCATCTTTTATATATACTTATCTGTATCTATGTAGGCAATTCTACTTTTACATTGTATTCATGAAGTTTTATTGAATCTATTCAATTTCTTTGGGGTTGATTATGATATGTGCATTCATCTGTTTGTTTTTTTGTACATATTGATGTGTGTGTAGGTATATATACTAGAAGCTTTGCAAACTCAATGGTGTGCTATGAAAATCAATTGGTTGGTCCTTTATTGACCCCCCAAAAAAAAAAAAAAGATTTAGTGGAGAAAAAAAAAAAAGTAATAAACATTTAATGGTTAGTGGAGAAAAAAAAAAAGTAATAAATTTATATATACTTATCTGTATCTATGTAGGCAATTCTACTTTTACATTGTATTCATGAAGTTTTATTGAATCTATTCAATTTCTTTGGGGTTGATTATGATATGTGCATTCATCTGTTTGTTTTTTTGTACATATTGATGTGTGTGTAGGTATATATACTAGAAGCTTTGCAAACTCAATGGTGTGCTATGAAAATCAATTGGTTGGTCCTTTATTGACCCCCCAAAAAAAAAAAAAAGATTTAGTGGAGAAAAAAAAAAAAGTAATAAACATTTAATGGGGAAATTATAAAACAAAAAAAAAACTTATGTAACAAAATAAATCATGAGTTTAAATTGACAACTTAAATTTTTGATTTGTAAAAAAAAACTTATGTAACAAAATAAATCATGAGTTTAAATTGACAACTTAAATTTTTGATTTGTTTTCAATTTAAACCATTTGCTTATTTCGATTAAGTAAAAACGATGGGAAAAAACTATTTTAGTCATAAAACCCAATGAAAAAGGATATTTTAGACATGTTCTGTACACAGTTTGATGACTAAAATATTATTTTTTCTCGATTTTACTTTACGGAAATAGGCTTTTAGTTTGGATTGAAAACAAATAAAAAAATAGTGTTTAAATTGGAGAAATTAAAAACTTCAGTGTTTATTTTGTTACGAGGGCCAAACTTCCGTTTTGTTTGTTTGTTTGTTCGTTATAATTTCCCAAATTTAAAATAGAAAGTGAGACAATTGCAGGCTATTTGGGAATTAAAAAAAGTGTGACAAAGTGTCACCAAGTTGTAGGCTTTATATAATAGAATATACCAAGAGGGGTGTACATGCAATGGGTGTGTTATGAAAGCCAGTCGGTTGGTTTTTTATTGACAAAAATGAAAAATTTAGATAAAGCGAAAAAGAAAACTGAACGAGTTAAATAAATTTGAAATTGGAAATTTAAAATAAAAAAATGAGACAGTTGCAGAGTAATTTGGTAATGAAAAATCTGTGACAAAGTTCACTGAGTTGTATTGTAGGTTTTATATAATAGATAGAGTGGATTAGATGGTGTGCACCCAATGTATGTGCTATGGAAATCAATCAGTTGGTCTTTTATTGACAGAAAAAGTGTAGATGAAGAGAGAAAGAAAACTGAATGAGTTATAGAAATTTGAAATTTAAAATTTAAAATAAGAAAGTGAGACAGTTGTAAGGAATGAAAAGCTGCGACAAAGTTTCACTGAGTTTGTAGGCTTTATATAATAGAATAGAATAGATGTATATATTACTATGACAAAGCATGTTTGGCTCTACTATTGCTGGTTTTGGGCGGGGTGATTAAAATAACCTAGTTTGTTTCTATTCTAATTAGAATTTGCATCAGTTATGATTAATTGTGCAGGTTCGAATTGATAAATTTTAGTTTGTTCTTATTATAATCCATTAGAACTTGCATCAGTTATTACTAATTGCTGATTTCAATTGAGAAACTTTAGTATGTTCTTATTATATTTCATTAGCACTTGCATCAGTTATGGCTAATTGTGCACGTTTGGATTGAGAAATTTCAGTTGGTGGTGATTTATTATCATTTTTGGTCTCTGAATCTATCTTCTCTCAAAACTTTACATAGAACAGTTACAATAGCTGGTGGAATGGTGTAAAAGGTTTGAATAAACAACAATAATAGAGGAAGCATATTTTAGTTCAGAATCTTAAATGGCATCACTTTAGATGAGCGTTTATTTGAAATTTCTAGGTATGTCACATATCGGGGTTAAAATATCATTTATTATTTGCAATAAATCTTAGCATAATTCTAGGGATGTGGATGTATGTACATGATGGTTAATGGTTCCATATTTGTTAGTTGTTTATCCTTCTGGTACAAGATATGGTTGTTTATGGTGACTATCTATGTAAAATGACAAACTTTAAAACACAACTGCATACTACATTTAATGTTTAGTTTCATTTCATCTTATTACATTTTACGTAGGTTTGAACCTTTTCATATATGCCATTTATGGTCATATTTATCAATCTTGGATCCATGTTCAGCTGTTTGCAAATGCATGTTCAATGCTTAGCTTTAATGAAACTCAATTTTTATCCAGGCTGAAATTGCATGGAACAAATGTGCTTCTCCGTTATCTTGGTCGGGCAGCAAGCATTTCCAATTTTTACGGGCAGGATGCCTTTGAATCTGGTCAGGTACTTACTGCGCTTTTCTGAAGTTTGAAGTATTTAACTGCCCTTCAGTCTCCAACCCCCTTTTGTCCCCTACAGAATTACCTTTTTTTGTTGTTGTTTTTCTCTATTCAATATTTGCTAATTTCTTTCATTGATTTTGGTTTTTCCCTTCTTCCAGATTGATGAATGGCTAGAGTATGCCCCTGTTCTGTCATCAGGTGCTGAATTTGATGGAGCATGTAACTATATTGATGGATATTTGTTGAGGCGTACCTTTATAGTTGGTCATTGTTTGTCTATTGCAGACATAGCCATCTGGTCTGGTCTGGCAGGTAAAAAGCTTGGGACACTGCCTAGTTGGTCATAGTTTTTCCCAGATTGATTGCTTCTTATTTTTTGGCAAAGTAATTGTGTAATTACTTGTTTGCGTATTGATGGCTCCGGTCTCTTTACCCTAGAATTTGTGCAATCAGATAGTAATGGTTCATTTTCAGATATTAACAGTTTATTTTCTTGTGACACTTGTCATCAATGTTGATCCATGTCTTGATCTTTTCTCACTGACCCCAAACTGTAAAGCTTTTGTGTATTTCAACAACAGTTCTGTAATAAGTGCTCAAGTTTGCTCTTTGCAGGAGCTGGGCAGAGATGGGAAAGTTTGAGGAAATCAAAGAAATTCCCAAACCTAGTACGGTGGTTCAACTCGATATCGACCGAGTATGATGTCGTCTTGAACAAAGTTACCTCTGCTTATGTTGGAAAACGAGTTTTGGGAAAGCCAGTAGCGGCCAAGGCAAAAGGAAAAGAGCAACAGTTGGTTGATCAGCAATCCAAGAATGCCAATAGCAATGTTAATGACAAGGGAAAAGCAGGAAGCCGATCCACTTTTGAAGTAGATCTTCCAGAGGCTGAAGTTGGAAATGTGCGATTGCGATTTGCCCCAGAGCCTAGTGGCTACCTTCACATTGGGCATTCTAAAGCAGCCTTATTGAACCAGTACTTTGCTCAAAGGTACCAAGGTCAGGTGATTGTGCGTTTTGATGATACAAATCCTGCTAAAGAGAGCAATGAATTTGTGGAAAGTCTGCTGAAAGACATAGAAACTTTGGGTATTAAGTATGAGACTGTTACGTATACTTCGGATTACTTCCCAAAATTAATGGAAATGGCTGAAAAATTGATTTCTGAGGGGAAGGCTTATGTTGATGATACACCACGTGAACAAATGCAAAAAGAAAGAATGGATGGCATTGAATCAAGATGTAGGAATAACAGCCCTGAGGAAAATATGAAATTATGGAAAGAGATGATTGCCGGATCCGAAAGGGGTTTGCAGTGCTGTGTCCGTGGGAAGTTGGATATGCAGGATCCAAACAAGTCACTGCGGGATCCAGTATATTACCGCTGCAATCCGATTCCTCACCACCGGATTGGGTCAAAATATAAGATATATCCAACTTATGATTTTGCATGTCCATTTGTTGATGCTATTGAAGGTATAACTCATGCTCTACGATCAAGTGAGTATCATGATCGCAATGCTCAGTATTATAGGATTCAAGAGGATATGGGAGTTCAAAAGGTGCACATATACGAATTCAGTCGACTTAATATGGTATATACACTTCTTAGCAAGCGCAAGCTTCTATGGTTTGTTCAAAATGGAAAAGTTGAAAGTTGGGATGATCCTCGTTTCCCAACTGTTCAAGGCATTGTGCGAAGAGGTCTCAAAATTGATGCATTGATACAATTCATTCTTGAACAAGTAAGACATTACACTCCTACAATACATTCATAAAACTTATCCTAGTTGCGGTGCAATATAATAATATGCAGATGAATGGCTTTATTCCCAGACACAGATTATACAGAAAAACGTTTCTTGTTTGGGTTATTTTTGTATTTTATTTTTGGACTATGCACAAATGACATATAGCTCTGGGTGTTATCTTTATATATTGATGAGGATTTTCCTTTCCCCTTTTTGTGCTATGCCTGTGTGTTTTGGGGTGGGCATATAGTACAATTTATTTATTTTTCTATGGAGGAGGGGGAAAAAAGTTTGAAGTATTGATTCTTTGCATCTGCATCCACACAACACTTATTACGTAGTGCAACTGTGCTGTACAGAAGAATGTCATTATGTCTACTCTTCTATAAGAAGTAGGCTTCCATAGTTTTTGTTCCCCTGATGCTTAAATCTACTTTTAGTTTTATTTTTGATATTTGATTATTTTACATTTTTCAGGGAGCTTCGAAGAATCTGAATCTTATGGAATGGGATAAACTATGGACCATTAATAAGAAGATTATTGATCCTGTGTGTCCCAGATACACTGCTGTGATTGAAGAAGGACGTGTCTTGTTAACCTTAATTGATGGGCCGGAGAAACCTTTTGTTCGCATCATACCAAAGCATAAGAAATATGAAGGTGCTGGAGATAAGGCGACAACTTACACAAGGCAAATTTGGATTGACCGTGCTGATGCTGAATCCATCTCAGTTAATGAGGAAATAACCTTAATGGATTGGGGCAATGCAATAGTAAAAGAAATCAAGAAGGGCGAGCATGGAAATGTCACTGAGTTAACTGGAATTTTACATCTTGAAGGATCTGTCAAGACCACGAAGTTGAAGCTTACCTGGCTACCTGAAACAAGTGAACTTGTGAATCTCTCTTTGGTGGATTTTGACTATCTAATTACAAAAAAGAAGGTGCCTACTACATAACTGATAACTTAAACTCTTTTGTGTCTTTTACAGCACCAATGTATTCCTGTCATCATATTTTATTTGATAAGGTAATTTTATCAGAAAAGATGGCAAGAAAAGGGCCACAAACATGGGACACAACATATACGAAAAGACTTATACTACTCCTATATATATCTGCATGATATACAACTTACCCATTAAGAGAATAAAATCTTGTACTGAAAAAAGAAAGGCCTCCTTGAGCCAAAAATACAAGAAGACGAACATTGTCGTTTTTAGAGATGATAACGAACTCTGCATTTTTCTAATATTTCATATTCCTCTCAATCCTTAGACACCACATAATGTATAGAGGAACAGTCTCCTAAGCCTTTCTGAATCTCCCTTAAGGACATCCTCTATTACCATGAATTCAATTTCTTAATTACCATCGATCATTCCACCCCAAACGACTCTGAATATCACACTCCACACCTCTTGAGCTACTGAGCTGTGCAATAATAGGTTATTCAAACTTTCCATCTCCGTCTTGCATGTGGTATCAATAAAGCATAAACTTGCCTCTTCTCAAATTATGCGTTGTCAAGATAGCTTCACAAGAAGGCTGCCTTGGGTGAGATCTAGCTTTTTTTCCGTCAACAGGATTCTTAAGTTAAGACTTTTGGATTATCCTAAAGACCATATTAGATCTACACATCCATGTCAAAACATGGATTAGAAAAATGCAAAAATTATTCAAGCTAGGAGAAAACGCAAAACTTATTCTGCTATTGGATTTACTCTTCCATTTACTTCATCATTGCAGAAAGTACTAATTGAGATGCTTTTTGCCCATGATTTTATGAAATATACTCTTCATGATGAGTCATGGTTGTTAGATGCAGTGAAACTTGAAACCTAAACATGTAAATGTAGATAAGATATGTAACATTCGTTAGTTCTTGGTTGAGAAAACTTGAGTTTATCTGTTTATTTATTATTTAAAGCAAACTCCAGATAATTACAATCTATGATATGAACCATATAGTTTGTGCTTTTACTTTTGTTTCTTTTGGAGGACTCCTTGTCCACTTCTTGTGTTTTTTTCTTCTTTTAATGAAGTTTCATTTTGTTGATGATAAAAAAATAAGAAAAAAGAAAGAAAAAAAAGAACAATATATCATGTGTATGTGCACGCTGGTGCATCATAAATCATGAAGAGAGGATGAAAGTAAAAGTTCTATAACTGGTCATATATAATGAATAAGAAACAGTCTTCATCCCTGCATATATTTGTGAATGAGCGGTGACTGAAAAATGTGGTGTAAGATTTGTGGACACCTGGATGCTGGCAAAATGCATCTAATTCACCAAATGTCCATTTAAAAAATGTATATATGTTGATGGATCCTTATGCTTCACATTAGGTATACAATCTGAATGTTATTCTTGTTTATATTGAGCTGAACAATATTAAACTCTCGGTGTTTGTAACTGTTTGCGCTTGCAGCTAGAAGAAGGAGAGGATTTCCTTGATGTGCTTAACCCATGTACAAGAAAGGAGACTGCAGCACTAGGGGATTCAAACATGCGAAACTTGCAGCGTGGAGAGATACTGCAGCTGGAGAGAAAAGGCTATTTTAGATGTGATGTCCCCTATGTCAGACCCTCGAAGCCCATAGTTCTTTTTGCCATTCCTGACGGTAGGCAGCAAACAGGATTGAAGTAAGACTTCGAAGTTCTCATCTCTTTCATTTGATGTGTATTTGAAGAAGTCTTGATGTATACCTGAGTAATCTTTTTTCTAAACTTTACAAACTACTTTGAAGTTCTCATTTCTTTCATTTGATGTGTATTTGAAGAAGTCTTGATGTAATACCTGAGTAATCCTTTTTCTAAACTTTACAAGCTTGCTAATCAACTTTAACTAGTTCTATTTCGCGTCTTTAAATCATTGGTGCGTTTTGGTATACATGATCCTTGGTAGATGTACGCAAAGGAAAAATCAAGTTAACTTTTGTTTTATATTTATAGGAGTTTTTTGTTGTTGGTCTGTATATGTATCTGTTATACTTTTGCTGGAACTTTCTTTTGTGATGTTTCCTATTATTTGGATTAGCATAGGTTAACTGCAGTTCTATTTCATGAAAGTCCATGAATAGGCACACATTTCAGACACCACCATCGTACAACCTTGATGAAAGGCAGGAAGTTCAGTTTATCACTCTTATACACGGGCACACCGAGGATACAATAATAATACATTTTGATTTGTTATATATATGAATATTACATCTACAAACAATTAAAAATAGTGAAAAATTAGGTCAGTTGTTTGCCTTCATAATACGATAATATGATTAGCACGGACTACATGTTTATATTGTGGTGACTATGAATTTATGATGATTTATTTATTTATTTATTATTATTTATTTTTTATAGCTCATCATGACAAAATAAACCTGTCCTGGGGTGTATCCAAAGGTTGGACTTGTGTTCCCATTGTGTCTGGACAAAGAAAAGGGGTGTCCAATACGTATCTTGGCCGTGTTCAAGGAGTGGAATGTCACACAGATATGACAATTAAGTGTAAAGAGTCGGTGCTTCATAGCTAGGAATTATAATCATAATAATGTATTTATCCTAACCTGCCAATTAGGTTACTTCCATATTGTTAATCCATCTCATACTTGGGGTTGCATGGTGATGTGTTCTAAAATAGAGCCGTTGACACGCTTTGACCATTTGAGATTCAAAATGTTGCTTGAACAATTTTATTTTTTTGTTCGCTTAGGTGCGATTAAGAACAACAGTCTTGTAATCATTGTTTAATTTGCAAAACATTTCCACTGTCTTTTATTTCTTTCTTTCTTAGTTGTTGCTTGTCACTTTGTGGCTTTGATTAAGTTTCTTCTGCAAAGATGCCTTTTGCTTATCCGAGGTGTGGAGGCTTAAGTAGGTAGCATGATAAGATTATTTATGTGAATTGTTAACTGCAATGCTAGTAGATTAATATTGATTCAATCTTAATGCTTAGCCTAATGTATAAAGAAATAATTAAAATTTTAACAAGCACAGTAGTTAGTTTATCCGAATCCTTGCCTATGACAAGCTCTGCTTAAAAAATAAGTAAGCCCATTCATTCTTGATAGTTGGTTTGGGTGATTTTATTATTATTATTTTTATATTTTTATATTTTTGACATTCTCTACAAAGTGGGTAGGTATGGAAAGGACAATTATTTATGTTTGGTAACATTTGTGTTTATTATTTTTTTATGTGTTAATTTTTTTTTTTTTTTTTTTTTTTTTAAATTCCTTTTTTTTTTCATTTCCTTTTGTTAAAACTGCGTTTGAGAGTTGTTTTGTTTTGAAAAAACTGTAAACAATTTTTCTTCCTCCTCCCTTCGCCATCTCCTTCCACCATTCTCCCATTATCTCTGGCGGTGGTCAGTCTTTACCGCTGATCATCTACTCCGGCCACAACCCTCTGTGGCTACTCACAATATATATATATATTGTTTGTTTTGAAAACGTATTTATCAACATGTTATTTGTTTTTAGTAATAGTACATATGAACATAAACATGGTTCTCCTTTTTTTCAGGTAAAAAGAAAACGTAAATTGTAAACATTATTAATGACACTGTAAACATTACCAAATGTTAATGTCCCCGAAGTACTCGTTAACAAAAGATTATGTTATAATATGTTGAATCATCTACTCTAGTAACTTGAAATTGTTCATCTGCTTATGCTAATCAAAATCATTCTCAATCATTTTTGTTGATAGGTTCAAGCTTCTGTTGCTTTTCTATTTGTTCATCATAGGGAGAGAAGAAAATGAAGTACTAGTTATTACTGCACTAGTTTTGTCTCTCTTATGTCATTGCCTTGGAAATAATTGTGGAAAATAACCAGACCCATAATGAGATGTTGCTGGTGAGGGTTGAACGTTTGGTTCATCTCACTCTATGCAATTTTTATCAAATACTTCATGACGATTTTTGGGACCCATTAATTGTCTGGTATGCCCAAAAGTAAAATTACCCTATTGTAATGATTGAAACAAAATGAAGAGTTGTTTCTTAATCCAAAAAAGTTAAGGCCACCAATTCAACTTTTTTAGTATAGACAAAAACTTTAAAGGTCACCGACTAGATGCACCCCTTTGGAAATGGAGCCCCAATCATGGTGTGATGAAATTTTAACTAATGAGTAAGAGTAACATATAATCTAATTATCCAAACAAGATAATAATGGACAAAAATTATTCAGTAATATCAAAATATTATTGTACACGGTTTTAAATATATATGCATTGATTGTTATATGTTGGAATTTTGTATTTTTTGATATCCTTATGTATCCATATATTAGTTTATATATGGTTCAATATTGATTGATATATGATCATATCGGTGTTATTGATATGTCTGTTTTAATATCATAACTTAGGCCTCGTTTGGGAACATGCTAATTTAGTAACTTTTTAGCTATTTGGCTAAAATATGAGCTAAAAAAAATTAGTATGTTTGGAATGATTTTTGGACTTTTTACGAAAAGATGTGCAAAAAGTAGAGAGAAAAGAGAATCTTTGACTTTTTGGTATGAGTTGTTGGCTTTTTGGCTAATTTAATAACTTTTTAACTTTTTGGCTAAAAGGGAAGGTTCCCAAACGAGGCCTTAATACCATGCTACCGTAACGGTTGTATGTAATGCTCTCAACAAATGAGATGGACAGAAAGGTATGAATAGGATTGATTTTATCTTCCACTCAATTGACCAAAGTAAGGGGTTGTTTGGAGTGTCCTAAATAAGTGCATTTTTTTATCTTTTTGGACTAAAAAGTTAAGGGAAAAAATATGAATGTTTGGGTTAATTTTTTGACTTTTCATGAAAAAATGTAATAAAAAATTGTAAAAATTGGTTTGTAGAGGAAAATTAAGATTGAGAATTGTACAGCCGTAATTGTTGATTTTTGATGAATAGTATTAACTTTTTAACTTTTTGAGTAATTTTTTTTACTTTTTGACTTTTTTTACATACCCCAAACTTGGCCTGAGTCTGATCGGCTCCATTGATCTCATTAGTAGTTCAGGAGCAAGATGTGTATTGAGTTAGTTGTCCAAGACTAATATCAAATGGTTTTTTGGTCCATAACATTATATGGATTCACATACAAAAGAAATTCAAATGTCCACCCAATAAATTACCCATGAATCCTTATCAATGAACAACAAATTAAGAAAACAACAATGCCCCCAAACACATTCAAGTGTCCATAGTTACTTGGGTGCAAGCCTTGACTTGATCTTCTCAATCTCCTTGGTACCAACTTGGAAGGTCATAGTCAACACATGATCTGGCACCGGCGGTGTGGAGGCGAACAATGTGGTGGCGATGGATTGGGTCCCGGGCAACTGACTATTGAAGGCGGCGATGACAGCTGCAGAAACATCACCATTATTCTTCTGGAAATGAACCAAACCTCTCGGAAACACAAATACGTCACCCTTTTTGATGGACTTGGAAACTAGTACACCAGCTGTGGTGATAAAACCCACATCCAATTCGCCTTCGAGCACGAATACTACTTCAGTGGCGCGTGGGTGGGTGTGCGGTGGGTTTAGGCCTTTGGGGGCATAGTCGATTCGGGAGAGGGACACTCCAAGGGTGTTGAGCCCTGGGATTTTTTCCACATTGGCTGGAGTCACCTTTGAACCCATTGTGTTGTTGGTGAGACCTGGGTTGGCTAGGCCATCAAAGAAGAAGTCTGATGAGTTGAAGGTTGGCTTGCATGCAAACCCATTGACTTTCACACCTGTATTACACAGATAAACACATATTTCATTAATTTTGCCAACCCATTTACTAGCTATTTTGTTTGAAAAATGAAAGTAGAAACCTTTAATTTCAGAACACTATAAATTAAATCATTTGGTAAAGAATTGTGGAACCATATGGGTTGAAGACTTGATTTAGTGAAACCCATAACCCATGATGCACAACATGAAATGCGCATGCTGTCACAATAATTTTTTAAAAATAGCATGGGAACACATTCAAAATATATTTAACTGTATATATTTATGTCATATATATATAAATGCTTCAATAAAAAATAATAGAAATATAAAATAATACTAATTTCTAAAATTAAAAAGAGAAAGCATAAATTACACTAACCTCTGTTGAGATTTGGAGAAAATATAGTAAGCTCCAAAGTTTCTAAAATTTTACCTTTTTATTTTTTTTTTAAATTTTTTCATCATTAGTTTCTAGGTTATTTTGTTTATACTTGTAACCTATTTTACTGGTATCTAAGTGAGAAACAAGTCTTTACCAAATATCCAAAACAAAGTCTAATTTTTAATCAAATTTTTTAAAAATAATTGAACACATTTGAATGTGTCATGAACACACCAGAAGTGTCGGTAACTCTTAACCCATTGCTGTTAGACCAAACAGAGTAAACCAGCAGAGTCAATGGTCAGTTGACTTGACAATTCTAATTCAAATCAACAAAAAATAAATAAATAAAAAAAAAAAACAAAAACAAAAGAGTGGTTGGTTTTTGAACAAAGTTAACTATACATTGATGCAACTAAGTGTTGCTAAACTCAACTATGAATATGAAGCAAAAAAATGGAAGAAGTTTTTGATAGTGAATACCAGAAGAAGAATCGGCGACGCAAACATCTTGAAGCAAGTCAGGATCTGCAGAAACAGAGATACAAATGAAGGCTAAAGCCACCATGATCATCATCACTGCTGTGAGTTTTGCCATAAAAAGCAAAAGCAATCAAAGCTTGAAAATAAGAACACAAATGGGGGATTTGGAAATTGGAACACAGAGACGGGAGAGAAGGAAAAGTAGGAGTGTTATTTATAAGCAAAGAATATTTTGTTAGAGAGAGAAAGAAAAGTCTTGGAGAGAGAGACAAAATTGGGGGAGCCCAGCTAGTGAATGTTAAAGGCACGAAACAAGACGACTTGTACTTGGACCAAAAGTGAAGGCAACTACATAACCCATAAAACACGCCCCACAATGCATTAGGAGAGGTTTTTTTTTATTTTTTTTATTTACAGGAAGGGAAGAAATGATGTTCTGAAGTATCCGTGGGCTTAGTTTTCGGAATAACTGGTTGTCAGTGTGATTTAATCAAATTCATAGAAAGGAATCCTTCACTAAAGTATTAATAAAACTCAATCATACATCAAGGACGAATCCAAAATATGATTAGAATACATAATGAGATCTTCGTAGACAACCGCTGAAATCACCTAGCATTAGGAGACTCTAAGGGTTGTTTTGGGAAGATGGTTAAAAGTGACTTTTTGGCTTTTAACCAAGCTTTTGACTTTTTTAGACAAATGATTTGGGAAGTTGGTAAAAAGTGACTTTTGACTTTTTTGATTAATTTTTTTTAAATTTACAGGAAGGGAAGAAATGATGTTCTGAAGTATCCGTGGGTTTAGTTTTCGGAATAACTGGTTGTCAGTGTGATTTAATCAAATTCATAGAAAGGAATCCATCACTAAAGTATTAATAAAACTCAATCATACATCAAGGACGAATCCAAAATATGATTAGAATACATAATGAGATCTTCGCAGACAACCGCTGAAATCACCTAGCATTAGGAGACTCTAAGGACTTCAATTAGACCTCTGTTTTAGGGCCATTTCTTTGACAACATCTGTGATTAATTTATGATCTATTTCGTCACTTCGTGCCGTTCACTTGATCTGATGACTCTGGCCCACATGACTTTTTATATAGGAAAAATGTCAAATCAATGATATTTTGAAAAAGTTCCATTGAATTATAATTTTTCCTTTTATATAAATGGATCCAGAATAGTGCTGTTGCGGGGCCAAAAGCAAAACATTGGCAAGTGTAGCTGTTGGGTCAGAATAGGTTAGATCGAGTTAAATAATTATTATTGAAGATAAGCTAATAAGTAATGAGAATACTTTATATAACTATGAAAATTTGGTATTTCAATGATCCATAGCTAGAAAAATATAACTTATAACAAAAATTTAACTATTATTCAAGAGCATGTTTGATATGATAGAATGGAATGAAGAATAGAATGAGTAGTACGGTGGTGGTAGTATGATGGTGTGGTGATTGTGGCAGCTACTGTGGTGGTAGTTGTGGTGGTAGGGAAGTGAAATGGGTGTAGGAGAAAGGAATGGAGCTAAATGATAATTTTTTTTAAGTACCAACAAAAAAAATAATAATGAAATTTTATGGTGATTTCATGATGGAATGGAATGACTATTCTATAGGTTGGAGGAAAGAATAGACATTCTCATATTTTGTTGAAATAGTAATTCCAAATTTCAATGGAATGACTATTTACACTTAGATAAGGCGTACCAAATAAGAAAAATAAAACAAAAAGTTAGAACGTGCATTTCATTCTAACCTATTCTATCGTACTACCAAATGTACTCTTAAGTGGTAATAAATAATAGATCGCACTATATACATAGATTTTTGAAATTGACTCATAAATGAGTGAAACATAAATTTTTTTAAGTGAATAAAAAAGTTACAATAGATACGATAATGATTCGTAATTAACGTCAAAAAAAACTTAGGAGGCTTTTTGTGGCAAGGGATATATACCATAGCTGTCTCCCAGATAGAAGATGAGGAAACTAAAGAGGAAAAAGAAAAAACTTATCTTAAAAAATAAGTTATTTTTTAGAGTTGGAATCCTTCAAGCCTTGTTTGATTTGTCTTTTGAGAAAAAAATTTAAGGGAAAGAGAAATGATTGATTTTTTAAAGAAAAAATTCCTTTGAGCAGAATATATGTATTAATATATAGTGTATGGGAAAAATTATAAAATTTCTGAGAGGGGCCAAGTATAATTAAGGGAGAATTACACTGATATGGTGCTAGTGAATTATATTTACCAAAATGTAAAAAAAAATATTATAAATATTAATGATTATTTTTATAATTATTTTTATTAATTTATAATTAACTTTTGTAAACTATGTCACTTTTGTATACAATGTCTACGGTGTTGTGGAATGTGTGAGTTGGAAAGATATGGCTTGACCCATTATTAGATATATACAATCTGTGCAGATATTATCAGAATTAATATGGTTGTTATCTCATAATTAGAAGATTAGATTTGATCAATATCCTACCTTAATTATAGGATATATGATCTACCATGTATAGCTGGCTATATGCCTATATATTGTAATGTCCATAGTAAAAAAAAAAATATAGAAGAGAATTATTCTCCAAACGTGTTGTTTGACATGGTATCAGAGCCAGGTTCCGTCTTCAAAGAATTATATTAGAAGTTGGAGTTCGAATCTGGGACCACGTTTAGTGTTTTGTTTTTCTCTCTCTATTTATTCCGTTGCAGATTTAGTGTTTCTTCCTTACCACTATGTCTGGTTTGATTGAAACTGATAAGGGTTCTCAAAAGGAGGATGAACCCATACCCTTCTCTATTGGATCTCACATACATGAGTCCTCTAGACATCTCTCATCACTCCTGAACGACTTGATGGAACAAACTACATGGAATGGTCTCTAAATGCAGAGATCAAGATCTGTGGAAAAAAACACTGGGATACATCACAGCAACCAAAGTAGCTCCAGCAGATACCAAGTCGGAGGCATATGAAGTCTGAGATGATGCAAACTCCCTGGTTAAGTCTTGGCTCCTTGATGCAATGACAAAGGATATTCGATCTCTTTTCCTTCGTCTCCTTACTGCACAGAAGATATGAGAGGCCATCAAGCATACATATACAGTCGAGCAAGATGCATCCAAGGCCTATCAACTCCACTGTGAGGTAATTTCTATACATCAAAATGGAGGTTCCATCATCTCTTATTTTGGGAAATTACTGAGGATATGGCAGGAACTTGATGCTATTGATGAATGTATCATGGAGTGCGCCAATGATATTTTGACATATACCACAAAGGTTAATTCTCAACGTGTGTATATATTTTTGGCTGGCCTTGATTCTCAACTTGATGGAGTTCGTGGACATATTCTTAGTACCAAACCACTTCCCAACCTCCATACAGTTTATGCAACTGTTTGTGCAGAACCTAATCGTCAGGGTGCTATGTTTGGAGACAGGATTGGAGAAGGGGCTTTCATGGTGACTAGAACAACTTCTACTTCCAAGAAAGACCTGAAGTGCACTCACTGTAATGGAATTGGACATATCATAGAAACTTGTTTCAAACTTCATGACTATCCAGATTGGCATCCTAAGGGCAAGAAGGCATCTCAGACCACCTCTCAACCGAAGGGAAATCTCACTACTGTTTTGGGCTTTAATGCCCACTCAGGTATATCACTTACTAGCAATAGTGACTGGATCATTGACTCAGGTGCAACAAATCATATGACTTGTGATTGATACCGATTTAGTCAGTTTTCCTCTAAATGTCCTCAAACCTCCATCACCAATGCCAATGGTATATCGTCTCCAGTCATGGGGATTGGTACTGTTCGAATATCTCCCACTTTAACCATTCAAATGTTTTATTTGTGCCTTCATTAAACTGCCACCTTCTCTTTGTTCCCCAATTAACCATATCTCATAATTGTAGTACTCTATTTTTCCCTACTCACTGTGTATTTCAGAACATCCATACCAAGGAGAAGATTGGTAGTGGTAAACAAAGTGGAGGGTTGCACTATTTGGAAGATGGGTTCTCGTCTACCAAGAATGGAAGAGCTTATGTTGCAAATACAGATTTACAGCCTCAGAATAAGACGACAATTTGGATATGGCATCGACGACTTGGCCATCCTTCCTTTCACTATCTCAAAAGATTATTTCCCTCTTTATTTCGTGGCTGTATGGTTTCTGATTTCCATTGTGAAACTTGTGTAATGGCAAAAAGCCACCGTACCTTTTTTCCATTAAGTAATAATCAAGCCACAGTACCATTTGCATTAGTTCATTCTGATGTATGGGGGCCAGCTCCAGTTCCCACTCTTAATGGAATGCGTTGGTTTGTCACTTTTGTTGATGATTGCACATGCATGATTTGGGTTCATCAAATGAAACACAAGAGCGATGTTTGCTCCATTTTTCAACAGTTTCATCGAATGGTACTCACACAGTTCGGCATCAATATTAAGGTCCTACGTACTGATAATGGAGGCAAATATTTTAAACATGATCTTAAGGACTTCATGGCTTCTGTGGGTATGATTTCCCAAACCTCATGTCCAGATACTCCTCAACAAAATGGGGTAGCCGAAAGGAAAAATGGACATTTGTTGGCAGTGATTCGCTCTCTCTTAATTGATGGACGTGTTCCACTTTACCTATGGGGCGAAGCCTTGAATTCAGTAGCTTACTTAATCAACCACACACCATCTAGTGTTCTGTCATTCTGACGACCCTTAGATGCTCTGTTGGATCATTGCACTATTCCGCTAGTTGTTCTTTTGGCCCCGAAGATTTTTGGGTGTGTGGCGTATGTCCATCTTCAACCCCCTCACCGGACTAAACTTGAGTCTCGTGCATTGAAGTGTGTTTTTTTGGGATATGGAATCCATCAAAAAGGGTATCGCTGTTATGATCCCTCTACTCGGAAAATACATGTTTCTATGGATGTTGTTTTCCATGAAACTGAATTCTTCTATCAGCCCACTGTTACTGATTTATCACTTCAGGGGGAGCATTATTATGACGAAGTGATTAATCTTGTAGACCTACAAGCTTTCGATATCTCTGCCAAGCCGAATGATAGGCCAAATACTGAGGAAGGAGGGGTTGCTGACTTGGAAGGTGACTTGGAAGGTGTGGCTACTAATTTGGCCCCAGCCGTTCTTGACACTGCTGAAATTGATTGTGTCCAGGATAGTACAACATCTCCAAGCAGTTCCTCACAACTAATGGACCAATCTTCTCCTGAGATACTTTCAGA